CGTACATATGTTCGCTACACGAAGTTCAAGGTTTTGTACAAGATGCAATAAAAGCATCGGGGTCGTGCTCGCTGCGTTTGTAGTTATAATGCAGTTACCATTCCGTGGAATGACGAGAGTTACGAGCGTAGTAATTGGTCGGCACGTGGGCGTCTCATTAATACCGTGTTGCCGGCGTGTCTGACCCATGTGTCTTATAGGGTCGCTGCAAGTGTCGTGACAATGTGTGTGACGGGAATGCTTGAATGAATTTCTGGAATGGTAATTACGATGGTAACGGTGCATTCATTTTTCATTCATGAAGTCCACCGGCCAGAAAAATAGGTTAATTTGCCGTAAAGCACAGTGTGAACTCTCCTCCATTCCCTGTCTCATTAATGGAAGAAACAATTATTCGAATCATTTGTTATCCACGCGTTTGCTTTCCTATGACAGTACTTGGATGTAGAACCATCGCGAAATTTACTTTTTCTATTATTTTATTAAACCCTTGCCCTATAATATCGCGTCAGACTCATGATGGAGATATCAAATAGAATTTAACAAACATAAATATTATTTAATTCATGGAAATATTATTTAACATGGAACATGTCTGGAATTTTTCTCTTATTTTCATCAATTATTAATAACAAAGTAATTGAATTGATTACAGTTCAGGAAGAAATCATAGGGTAAGGGGTTGATACTAGAACTACTGAGCATTTCATATGATTGATATGTAATACCCCTATAAGAATTGTAACAATATATTATTTTTAGTTTCTTCAGACATTCGTTATAGTATTCGAGAGAAACTATTTATTTTCGGAATCATGCCGAATATTCTATAGAATTTGAATTTGGGTGATCTCTATTTATTTTTATGCAATGAACATTTACTTCATTTTTTAAAAATTTATTTACAATTTTGAGGATAATACAACAGATAAGCCTTTTTTGAAGGATGTTTACACTAATAAATTTTTCACTCGATATCAGTAAACTTAAATATCGTGTCAATTAATTCACAAATTACTTTGTAAAATAAATCTACATCGAACATCTTCATCTTTGCATGCTTCTTTTGTATTAGCAAAATTAATGAAGATATTAATCTGTTCAAGATAAATGTGCAAAACACTGTTCCAAAGATTTTTTCAATTAACAAAATTAATTTGGTCAAGTAGGAATACGATCTTAATCCTTTTTGAACGGAGATTTTTGAGGTATTAGGAACCTTTTTCATAGAAAGTTAAATTAGATATCGAACTCTTAAAAACTAGGAAGTACGAAAACAATGTATTGATCTTTTATTCTTTCATTTAATTAAATTATTTGCAATTTTCGACTCAACGTATATAAAGTTCATACAGTCAATAGTACGACACTCGTTCTCAAACGGTTAATTACGTTCGTGAGACAAAATGCTGCTAGAATTTCCTATTGACAAGTTACGTTCGATTTTTCGAATCAATGAGGTCGTTGACGTTTTGCGAGAGGCAGTCATCGATAGAAAATTCTTCATTGAAAGGGTATTCTCGTGGTGATCAGCTATACTTAACGAGGATGTACACACGTGCATTCTGTATGCACGCACGTGATGTTGCATATTCATAAGTTGTGACTACAGCCAGCAACATTTCCGCAGCAAGCTTCAACACGTGCACCGAATAAATTCTTCGTACTGTTAACGGCCGGTGGTGTACGAGTAAAGGCAATTGATCTGCTTTCTTTTCATTTATGAGTAGTATCTGTACCGTGTAGGTATTTTTGAGGGGGCTAAGCTCTGCTCAGTATTCAACCGTGTTCGATTAATTCCCGTTATTGTATACATACGTGCATGATCGTAGAACTCGATCTGGAATATACGAGACATATCGCCATATTTAATGAAAATCGATACTCACGAATACACTAATAATGGCAAAATGCTTTTTTTTCAAACTTTGCTATACGAAGACTTTGAAATTTGGAATTTTTCGCTTATCATTTTTCGCGTAGAATTATAGTCATTTAGGGTTAGTCGGGGAGAGAAGGCCCACTTTTTTTTTGAAAAGAGGTAATACCTCAAAATGTTATTTGTGAAGATAATATTTATTTATATTTTTATATTTATTTATATTTATGAAGATAAATGTGTCTATATAAGAAAAATAGGTAAATAAATCTTTGTACAAAATTCAGTATACCACCCAAAAGAATTGAAAATATTTGACAATTTTTTCAAACCTGAAATATGAACAGAATAATAAAGAAAAGACAAATAATAAATTCGTAAGAATCATACGATTTTTATTTACATTAAATTTTCAGAAGAATCCCAAAGAGTAAAATTGCAAATTTTACAGGTAAATTGTGAAATTTCCTACAATACCTTAGAAAAGCATGGTAAAGAGTAAAAAATATTTTCAATACTCCTTGATTATAAAATAACACGCCAACTCATATAAAAAAATCATGTCCACATATTGCGACGTCTATTTTGAAGACAGATTTTAAATGCCTCAACTGGTCGCGTAAAAGTGAATAAAAATCGCGCAAAAAAAGTTATTTTTGATATCCCAGTTCGTGTAACTCCGGATTTGAGTAGAAACAGTTTGCATAAACAGAGATTTAGGTGTACTGTATAACATCTAAAATTCAGTTCAATAACGACGCTTCGGTGATTTGTTGGTTGAACTGCTACAATACAAAGTTACTATATAAAGTTTAAAGCTTTGTACTTACACGTTACCTATAGAATCGCCAGCAAACACTTATATCGTGCAATTAGTTTTTCTGTCAGTTTCCCTTTACAGAGTCTTTTTTTATATTATAGTTATTTAGTTATTTCAAGTATTTAGAGCGTATTAAGTGATGATTCATACAGCCAGTCCAAGTGTCTGATACCGAACGAGTTACTGAAAGGTTAGAAAGGCAGTCAATAATGTAAAATATAAAAAAGCTTCGAACAGTCGCGAGCAGCCGGTTTTGAACGCTGAATGACCTGCACCCATAGTTCTATAACTCTTCATTTTTTCGAAATTTAATTACATTACTTATGGAGCGCATTTTTGTGACCCAATAATAATGCTTTTTTCAATCGTTACTCTGGTTTTCTCTCTCTAACCAAAATCACTGTTCCCCGGATAATCGCAATATCTCTTCGTAGCAACTTGATAGAGTGGAATCTATACGAGACTAGATTAGAGATAGAAGCAGAAAATTATTTCGTGATCAAAGACAATTAGGTTTTTATGAAACTACTATGTGCGTGTCGGAACATATAAGCAAGTTGACTATCGTAATATTCACTGCTACTGACGTCACTGCTGTTGTTCGGGTTATTGGATCGTTAATTATAAATGCAATTCAAAATTATAAATTAGATCATTTCTGAATAGATATAACAGCGAGTTGTAATCCATTTGAATGATTTGTGGTATAGTGTTCGAATGTCCTTAATAACACATAATTAAATTAATGTCATTTAGTGGCATATATTTACAATCACAAATGTACATGACATTAATTAATAAAATCACACTATTTAAATGAGAATTAAATGTTATGTAACACAAAATTAATGATAATTTAATAATCAAAAGAAAATTCGTTTTCAAACAGAATTTAGTGTTCTTTCTGATTTATTTTTACATATAGAATCACTTGTTTCCCCGGTTATGCAATATGTCCTGTTGCATACGAAACAAGTACAATATGTACACGTAGTTATACCTTTATTTAAGTACACTGTTCTGTTGCAGTATCTTGTTTACAAGAATAAATAGAGTAGGGAGTGGTCATACTAATTAACATTTGTCAGTGTACTTTTATAAATGTAACTTTTTTAAATCGCGAAGAGAAAATTTATTTAAAGACTGCGTAGTTCAAAAAATATAATTTCGTTTAAAAAAAGGGGATGATCTTAAAATTTTAAAATAGAAACTGGCACATATGATGACTTCATGAAAAATTTGTTTTCGTTATGTCTACCGTACTCAGACTGAGTATTAACACTGTATGTGCGCCATTTTCCTAATTTTAATTTATATCAACTTCATTCGACTCATTTATTTATTATTCAATACGTTTAGTATATTTGTTTTTATTGCAAATAGAAATACTTTCAAATCAAACTTTCAACATGAGATATTATTAAACACAAACAAATAAAATAAATATGAACATGTATTTACCACTACATAAGGTAAAAGTACCAATACTTGATTCGTTAAGCAAAATTTTCTGCATGAATAATGGTAAACACTTGCTCCTTTATTAAATAGAGAGACTCTTACCATTTTTTTAACACTAAATCTACCAGACAGGTCAAAATGACTAATTCCTGATTTGTTCTTTCTGCAATTATTAAAAAGATAATAGATATTTCTCTGAGAAATTATTCAAGAAATTGACTTTGCAATATGCAAACTGAATTATAAATCAATTAAAGTCTCGATAAATGCACTCTTGAAGTTGCCATAGGGGAATATCAAAAAATCAATTTACCTGCCCGGTAGGTTCAGTGTTAATCCAAAAAAATTACAATTGATCATATATTAGTTAGCAGTTGATCACTTATAGTAAAACCAAAAATGTCAAAGGTGATTACTTTAATATCGTTTATTTGCAACGATTATGCGAAATTACAAGTAAAAGGACAGATACAAATGAAAAGAAGTTAATTTTACGTTGGAAATTGGAAACATGCAACCAACGTCAATGAAATAAATTGTTAGTTTTTAGAATAAAGAATTCAATTCAGGTAAAAGTGTTTCGGAGTTGGCTTGGTAGATGCTGCAATATATGTATTGTATTTTTATCGAAAGATTATTACTTTTAAAAACTTTATTTTTTTATGTTTTCCTGAGAAATGGTCAACTACTGATACCAGGTCAATTACTGGTTCCTTTACCTTACTCAATATTACACGAAAAACGTACTAGTACGCCTCCCACACGTAACGCATTAAAATAACTGGAGAAATAAAAATAAAATTTAAAGTTAAACAATTTTATCTTACTTGATTGTTTCAGAACTGCCGAGAAGGAAAGCGAAGAAAAGGCTACGCCGACGAGCGAGACGAACGCGGCAGATGCTGACGACGGCTGGAAAGTGGCGACAGGTAACGAATTCCAGTTATCACCAGACACCGTCATCCCTAGCACTAAAGAACGATCGAAAGTAACATTAAAAACTCGTGAAAACGATCACGAGATGATTCAGTCGCTCTTCGAACAAATTAATCTTGATCAGCAGGTCGATGTAAAAAAGAATCGTCACCGGTTGTCAACGAGTCACAATAAACAGAAAAAGAAAAGCATCAATTCGAAAAATACTTCTCTGGACTCGAAAAGTTTGAAAAATAAACTAACCGACACGAAAAAGCACAGTTCCACCGATATTAGTAGTATTAACAAAGCGATGCAGACGTCTAGCGAGAAATTGGTCCAGGTTAACACGCGTATTTCGACGAAGCCTAAATCGATCGAACCAACAGTTTCATTGAAAAATGCATCTAAAAATGTGACATCCTCATCCACGGCTAATCGCACTGTTAGAAAAAATGCTAAGAATCATGCGAAAACGAAACATAACAAATCGACTGAGTAGCAAGGAAGAATTGGCCCTTCGAGAGTCTTATCTTTGATAAAATAGATGGAAAATTATTTGAATAAAGATAAATTGAAACAGTGCAGTGTACACGGTGATAAAAATGTTAAAGTCCCTTTCACGCAACGATTTATTTTAAGGGGTTATGCAAGTTTGCAGATCTAAATGAAATATGTAGAAGTTTGGAATAATTTTTTCACACACATGTAATGGACAAGAAGGAAAGATTTTTCTATGAAATATTGATCAATATTTTAACTGTATATATCTGTAGTTTATTACCTAAAAAGACAAAATGGTAGAAATTTGTCAAAAGAAATAGTTAGACAAATGTTGTCTGCATAGACAAACTATATATAGTTTGCACCCAGTGTTCAAAAAGGCTGGTATATAAAAAATAAAAAATTGTTGTGCTTATCTAAACAAAGATAGATTTTCTTGTATATAGTATAGGATTTTTCTATTATTTTCAAAACTGAGAAAATCCAAATGATTAATAAAAACGTAACTTCATTTTTTACTGAAAAAAATTAGCTTTAATTCTTTCTAAAAATTCAACGATTTAAGATACTAAAAAATACCGTATGCTACATTGGGGGTGGTATATTTTTTTAAGTGGACCCAACAATTTTCCAGCTTTTATAATTGAGTCTCTCAACTGGGTTGATGCTGTCTGGTCGTAACGTCAAAAACACTGTTTTCTTTTATAATTGTAGGTAATAAAGGAAAGAGTATATAGCTAAGACATAGCTTAATATTCTTCATAAAAATCTTTGTTCCTTATCAGTTGCACATAGGTGAAAAAATATGTTAGGATTACCTACTTCTTTTAAGTTGACAAGATTCATATCCTCTTAGCAAAAAAGAAGGATGTTTGGAGGGTAATTCGTAAGGCAACAAAACGACGATTTAATGTGTACCAAATTTGTCCATTATGCTCGTAGCAGTCTTCATATTTCTTTGTTTTATTATCATTGTTAAAACAGGATATAGTAAATCAGTTTTCTTTGAGATTGAAAGGATACTGTTAAATATCCCAGCGTGTGCGATCGTTGATCCACTTGTGATTAATATCGTGCTCAAGTTTATAGTCTGGTTTAATGAGAGCGTAACCGCTATAATTTAACTACTTTTGTCAGTTTCATTTGAAAACGAAGCAAAATGAAATAGAAACGAAAAGAATCCTTGAAAGAATATCGAGGAAACTAATACCTGTCGCAACTAATTCTTTTGATTTGGAAGAGCAATATGAGTAGTGGAACTTTAAAAATCAATTTCATTGATTTATTCTCAAAACTTTTTCTTGACATGCACACGAATTAAAATATGCACTTTATTATCATACTACAGAATTTCATATTGTTTTTAATTATATGTTACCAAACATGGATATTGCATTTTCATACTAAAATCGAAGCTTTTCATGGATACATACTATAAAAAATGCAGAAAATATCTCCACAATTAATTTTTGTTTTGTCACACATTCTGGTAAATGGTAAACTATTTTTGTTTTCTTTTGTATCTTTTGTATTTTATAAAATTTCTTGTGATATTTCTCGTAGTGCTAAATGTGCATATAGAAAGGCTGTTTCGAAAGAATTCGTCAATATTCTCGGTAATTACTTTTGGGTGAATATTTCTTTACTCACGCTCTTATTAGACAGTCTGTATTTAATTTATATGTGCCTGAAGTCCAGGTGATTTTATAGAATTTTTCACTGGAAAGTATTTTTACTTTAATAGAGTAACGGTAAATGTGACACATTTCATCGCGCCTTATTCACTGGCATATTGATCGCTTTATTCTCGATAAAGACATTATTTTTCTAGCTTTCTGGGAAGAAAATATTTTTTTATGTTTTTAATTTTTTGACGGTCACATTTTTTCTAACAATTTATTTTGTATCGCGTAACAGTTTGTATTTCTGTAATGGCACGTTAAAGTCGCAGGTGATTTCAAAATGCGAACGAAATTTATCGAAATGTTATACGAATTTCGAGGTGAAATTAGGATACATTCTAATTCATTTTATTATGAAAAATGTGGCATTTATTATCTATTATTGCGTATACCAGGGGATTTTTATTCTCCATCTTTCCAAAACGTACATTTATAATGAATGTATTACGTTTTGATACTAGATTTACGCCCATTTACTTTACACTCTGTTGTATAGTTTTTAGAAAAATTCATATTTGTTCATTTAGATGAATTATTATGTGCAAGATATATATTTGTGTAACTGTATTAATCAAAATCGACCGAAATATTTATCAAATAATGTTTATAAAATTCAATAATGATCAAATTGACTTGTTCCGTAAGTCTAGTGTTAATTCTATACATAGAAGTGTGATGTAAGTAAATATTTGCTATTAATTAATTTTCTACATTTAATACACCAGTTAAAGTATTCTTCGTTACATTTATCGCTTGAGATGCTTTAACATAGATTGTTGCGAATACTTATCTTTTAAATTTTGGAAACGTGATGAATGGCGTGTTTATTGTACCGTGGTCGAATAGAGCTGATGAAGCCTTTTTCGGTGATGAATTATCCTAATCTATTTCTACACTGATTAAATTTTCATAGTTATAAATTGGGAGAAAGTAGGTTTTGAATTTGAAACCCTTTCATCGAATCGTTTCATGAATTGTGGAAGCTTTACACGCAGAATGAAATAAAGAAATAAAATAGTTAAAGTGAGAGAAACAAATTTATATTAAACTAAAATTTTGAATATTTACCACATATGTTGTATATTTTTATAAGATCTTCTTGATGGACTCTTATTTGATTTTTCTACGGAAGATCGTTGAACCTGTTGAAAGGAAAAACACACACGAATCTAATGTAACTAATTGAACATTGAAATCCATAGCGAACTACGATAATCGAATAACGATATTAAAATACAAATGGACATATTCTAAAGTTGAATGGAATTTTCAAACAAGGGTTTAAAGCATATTACATAATTACATTATAAATTCTATTACAAATTACATTACTGTTATAAAACATAATTGTTCTTTGTCAGCTTCGTACTGTTGACTCTGGTCTAAAATTTGTTGCCTATGTCCGTAACTTGTATCGGTAATAACATGGTTGATAGATATGAATCATACTGTAATTTAACTTTGACCTAAATGTGCTGTAGACCTTTATTCAAAGTTTCCATTTAATTGTTACACTGCATTGTTGTTCCGTCTACGAATTAGGATATGAATTCGATACGCGATGGACTATTCGCTCTCTGTTTGATCATATTTTTCTTTTTTACAAGCTTTATCGAAATTTCCCTTCCTTTACGCGCCTAACATTGACCGAGGGTTTCGAATTGCTTTCGTTTCAAATGAGCGATTAGTTTAGCATGGAGCAGTACACGTAGAACGGGATTTCTTACATCGTACTGCGTTACCATGAAATTTCCCTCATCGACTCTATGCTACATTTACAACTTCCTTCATTACAAGAAGCGAATGAATTGCATTAATACGTCATTTCTCTTAGTTTGATTGACGAATAGTAGTATCTTCACAATAAGACGCAACGCGAAACTAGTAATATAAGGTTGTTAGTTATTTTTGTTGTTCTATAATGCGTGATACGTTATCAAAAATATTCGACCAGTTTTCACTTCGTATCTGAAATGAAATGATTTTGAACGCGTCGAAATCATTCGAGCGCGAAACCGAGTTGGTTTTAAGAAAGGAACACCTTATGCTAACTACTGCTCCACGTCACCAAAGAGAAAAATTATCTCATAATTATTAAAGACATGTACTGTGTGCAATTAAAGAGTCCCTGTGTTATCACAAAATAGGAAAAAGGAAAAAGGGACAAGAAATCTTGTTCGTTATATAGGGTGTCCCACGGAATTGAAACCAAATATATCTTTGAAAAGATTAGAGATAGAGAAAAATATTGGTAATATTAACATAATATTCCCTATATTAAGATGTTTTGTAGAAGTTGAAAACTGAATGGATAAATGTATTCAAGATTAGAATTTTATTTTAAAAAAACAGTGCTATTTTACACCTTGCAACTGCAGCACAAAAATATATAAAAGTTTCGTAGGAATGTGTCGCGTTTAATAACATTTAATTTTGTCCTACGATATTTTGCTTTTTTCTCCAATCCTTTGAAAAATATAGCTAGACCCAGTTCCGTGGGACACCCTGTATAACGATACACGAATTTCAAGTAGAAATTAACGTACATTGCAAATCACTTTATGCGGAATTTATCATTCACTACGATGAGGAAACTTAACAATTTGCTCTTTATATTATCCATTATGGCGTGTATTAAGATACCACTTACTTTCCACAAAGTACATTTAGGATAAATGTTTTATGTTTTGACAGGTTGATTGCCACTCGCTCCATCCTCCGTCCCAGCATCGATTAAAGGTGGTTGTGTATACTTCCTTAATATTAGGAGTATACTTTTGTTCATATTAAGGAAATAATAAATTGTTGTTAGAATTAAATACACATATTAAGGTATTAACACTAGAACACAAATTTCTTCTTTTACGATTGTTGCCAAGACACAGACACTTCCTTGAGAAATGATTAAAGAAGCTGTTTTAGCCATACTATTCTTCTAGTGTTGAATAAGGTAATAAGAAATATTATAAAAAAACAATGTCGGCAGCCCAGCCGACAACTGAAAATATTACTGGCAGTCAACCTGTTAATTCGATACACAGAAGTGTTTTGCTAATTCATTTTCTACGTGTAACGCACCAGTACAAATATTCTTCGAATGAAACATTCTATTTCGTTGATCATGTTTCGAAGAGAAATCTAGATGTCTTTTTACATAAATTGTTCACATGATTATTTTTATTATATGTATACAAATTTTGAGAGATAATGTATATTACATTTATATACTTAAATATACATTTTTATGAAAAGTGTTATGGAAATTGATAAGCGGCGTGCATTGTTATAATTCAATTTTGCAGCAAATCGTTGTGAATCATGTACACCGTCGTATTATTGAAAAATATTTCCTTAAACCGTACTGAGGTCAGTAACTGTTAATTATGTTCTAAATTCTTTAACGAAAAATTATTGTATTATGTAGCTTTTCTTAGAAGTCTCACGTTCAGATTTCGTTTCATTAAAAACAACATCATTTTAAATATTAACAACGAAAATGTATTCAAGTTCGTTAACATTCCATTCGACATTACGTTATAATGTTCGTGTATGCAAATAATCACTTCATATTTTCATATTCGAAGAGTTCTTTTTTATTCAAAGCTTAATTGAAACTCTCAGCAGAGAGTTATAAAGCTATATTTGAAATTTACATGAAGTATTACAATTGTCTTTTTGTAGAATAGTATAGAATACAATAAATTAAGCATATAACATTATACTTTCAGATGACATGCATCAATCCTTTAAAAAATAAGTTGACACGCTTGAACATTCGGCCCGCGGAGCAGCGATCTAATATTTAATAATGAATATAGTTTGTATTTTCTCGATTAATCCAATCGTTCAATTCTCTGAATATTTAACAAGGGACACAGCCAAACGACACGATTCAGATCTTGTATATCATAACCACGACTACATTTCGGAGTGTTAATAATATTTAACCGTTCAAGAGATGCAGAAAGATGATAATGATTTGATCTGCAACGATTAATGGCTACAATAAATTCACGTGAGAATGTTTTCCTTGAAAACCATGGTTTAGAACTGTCAGTAAACTAATACTGAAAATATCCTTTTCCCTTAAATTCGCCTTGTTTTAACGCGAATTCATTGGTACTTTTACTTTAGGTAGAATTTAATTTCAAACTCTCGCATTGTAAGCGCAGCACACTAGAAACACTATACGCGCGAACGAGTGAAACTCCACTCAAAGAGTTGATACCAATAAAGTATATAGATATTTTAAAATGGTTCTTTCTTAATGTCATTTATCACTTATAGAGAACGTAGAACAAGAAGGGAGTAGAGAAGACGACAATTGCGCCACGCAAGACAAATTCAAAATGTAACTTCTCTGAAACACAACGTCAGGAAGATTTTTTTACTTCTTTTCTTTGCTAAAATTTTGTTTAATTCTCTCACTATCACACGTCAGCATGTTTAAAAAGTCTACGTGTAACTGACTATTACATTTTTTATATTTTTACACAAAGGTTTAATTCCAGGAATTGACTAGGTATCCAAATGAAATTTAACGTCTGTATATGAAACCATTTATAATCCTGTTTCGAATTGAAATATGCTTTCGTCGTTTCAAGATTTCGTTGCATTAATCGTAATATTTCAAAGACACCATTAATCGGACAGAGATGGTGATAAAAAAATAAATAGAAAATGCAAAAACTGGATTAATGGATTCCATATGAACTGAGTCTGAAAGATATAACATTTATTCAAATATCCATAGAATTCAAACTAAGCCTGGACACTAAACAGAAAGATTCGCTCAGACAAGATTCAAAGGATTTTTGCGCAGCGTCGTGGTTGGCGATATAAAATGGATTTTGTACGACAACCGTAAGCAGAGAAAATCGTAAATCGAACTTGATCAACCATAAACATCGACATCTAAAGCCATGTTTACTCTCGAAAGGTGTTATTGTGCGTTTGGTGGCGTATTACTCGCGTTGTACGCCATGAGTTACAGCAATCGGATCAGATTGTTGATTTAGAATATTACCAACATCAACTCATTCGTTTGTGCGATGGAATAAAATGAAAAAGGTTGGATTTACTGACAACAGAACTGGACAAGTCATTTTGTAGCATCAAAACTCGGCCACAAAAAGATCAAAGAACGTTATTTATTTCTTGCTCTCGGAAGATCGTTCTAGTGCTATTGTATGACTGCTTATTCCGGTTGCTTGAAGTGGAAAAAGTCTGAAAATCAGTTGACCCATTCTTCGACTTAAAGCCACCAGCTTTTCTGCAAATTTATTTGTTAGGCGATCGACAAATGGAGTAAAATCATTGAAAATTATTTTATCGACATTTTTATTCAGACTCTGTGAATATTTATATGCTTCGAACTAGATATTTCGAATATTTATTAATTCATTTTATTTATTCAAAATAAGCTTTCTCTATAACTTTGCTCGAATTATAACGGTCTATAAAGAAATCTGAAAGCATGTCTAATATGAACAATTTTATATAGGCTAATTCAACATGGTATATCTTAAGAAATTGTCATCTTTTGCTACAAGATTTCAAGAAAGAATGTTGTTATATTAATAAATATTTGTTCAAAATAGTCATCTTGTACGTTTCTTTTCGTCGTTAGAAAAAGTTTTAGGATTGACCTACTTTTAGATAGGTTTATTTATCTCGTAAAGGAAATTATACGTGCCCTATGAAACATCTATAGCGGCTCACATAAGCAAAATACTCATAAATTCATGTAAAAAAATTATGCACTAGACAGTTTTCTAAGAAAACACTTCATTATATAATTTAATAATACACAACATTTTTAAAAAATGTACGTTGAAACACAGTTTATATTGGGTGTCCTAGTTTAATCTCCCGAGGTATATATTTCGAAAAATATAGAAGATAGAAGTATTTTCAATATAAATTTTATTTACAGTATACCCTGAGAAGCCTTACTTTAAAATAAATCTTACATTTTTAAGTGAGATCTTTTATATATTTTACAATTATAAATAGTAATTCTATCTTAAGCAGATTCATTATTCTGGTATTAATTAACAACTTCAAACCTTAGGGTAATTCATGTTCAAATTTTTAGTCACTGATAACATAGCCATTGGTAAATTTAATGGTTGAAAATTATTACTATTAATATCTTCAAAATAACTGACGCAAAAGGCACAAGTACTAGTACTTTGAAAATCATTTAATAGCAAATACTAGACTATTATAAAAACTATAGATTTTTGTTAAGAAATTTAAAGCTGATTTTCCTAGAGTTAAAATCGTTTCCTTGGAACTTGTTTTCCGAAATATTTGTCTAAAGAAATGGAAATAAGACACCTTGTGTCTATTTATTAGTTGCCGTGCCTGCTTGTAACCTGTTAGCCCGTTCGGTTTAACAGATTTATAGTTAACTAATTAATGCGAACGGTTATGTCGTTGCGCATAAACCAATCTCTTATTCTGTGCACAGGTAAACGCCACCGCAAATGGAAGAACGAAACGAATGTCGAAGTTGGTCGAGATCCCGTGAAGAAGAAGACATTTGAGGAGACATCCTGGGATTAATTCGAACCCAGAGAAACTGCATTTGGCTGTTACATCGACCTCCAGAATAACAGTCAATAAAGCGGAAAATACAAAAACAGATCGGCAATATTTTATTGTATCATTTCCTGTTTTGTAATTTTTACAGCTATTCAGAAATGTAGAATCATCTCCTTTCTCGTGTACTTTATCGTTCAATAGTTTGAAAGCAGTTAAATAAAATTTTTTTAAATAACATTACAGACTTTTTTGTTGGAAAACAGGCTCGAACAAGGTTTCATATTACTTAAAACTCAATTTAATAGTAAGGAACTTCGGTTTTTACCCTATTAAAATTATTACTTTTCTTCTTAATAATTCCCAAATTAATTTTGGTCATTTTGTTTATCATTCTTTTAAAAATTCCTTACAGTTTGCAACAAAATAAAGAATTTCTGAGAGATATAGGTGGACAACATTTTTCTAGCGAATAAATCAGTCTGTTCAATAAACTTCTTTTCCGAGCAATCAATTTCTACATGTTAATAAAATATTAGTTACTTCAATGAAAAATACGATTACTTCCAAACTTTTGATGTATCATAATATGTAGGTAGTGCTATCTGCAGTAACATATCATAGGAATCACAATACATATATTTTCGTTTGACTCGTATTATCGAAAGAGTTAAAGAACGACAATGAGAACGACAGAGAGAATAATATTCCTTTCAGAATGTTCGTTCTTCATTGTCGTCCAACGAATAGATAAATTATTTCAGTCGGCCTGTACTTTCTTGCAAATAAACATAAATTCTTTAGTAAGAACATAGAAGTACAAATGTATCTCACTGTAATTAGATAATATAATTGAACATTGTAATCTAAAAACCGTTTGAAGACGTTTCGAAACTGCTTTGTCTCGCTAAATATTTTCGAATGTAACTATGTACACGTATAAGTTTATAAACATATTTTCCTATACTGTAGATCAAGTTGCCCTGTATTAAATGTGACAATGTAAAGATTGATACAATAAAAGACTTGTTGCAAAGAATTATATTCCTTCAGTATTGTTCATTTCAAGGTTTTGTTACCGAGGTCGTATTAGGATTAGGATTTTTTTATTTGATTGCCCGCTAAACCAGAGATTTTTTAAACTAAATCCCACAGTTAACAGGTTAATTGCCGTGGATGCCAGATATCCTCGAGTCGAAGATCCTTCGAAACTCTATGATTTATGGTATCAGTAGATTGCTAATAAGGCAGTGGTTAAAGTTTTGGCGAAAAATGTATATCAAACTGCGGAACTAAACAGATTTTCCAAAAATAACTTTTTCTATTTCCGCATACCATAAACTGTGCTTAGCCGTTTGCACGAAACTTAATTTTTACATATAATGGAACGGGCCGCAACAGACTCTTATATTGAAACTATTTGTCCGTAGTAAGCAACAAAATTCGTAGAAAATTAGTTATTGCTAATGTATAATGATAATATATTATACGAGAAAAACACAACTGTGAACTCATGACTCCCTAAAATTTCTTCTTCGAACACGCACTATGTTATAGTTATTATCTCCCTTAGAAGCTTATTTTTACTCGTATTCTTGAGAACTGACAACGTTAATCCTGTGGTACTATGCCGACCATCTTCCTTTGCTTTTGACCTTTTACAACTTACTACTTTTTGGCCCTTTTCTTTGCACTCATTGTCACTTTCATATTTCTTATGGCTAAACTCGCAACTTTAAATCTAAAATGTTATAACTAAATTCCGGGGGAGGGAAATACTATAATATATAATTATTTTTAGGTGGTACCTTCTCCTGTTTGCACACATTTTATAAAATATTCAATATTTATTTAATAATTTCAGAACGTGTTAATATCCATATATAAGTATCCGTATAAAAGAGCGGTAAAGATAATGTTAATACAATAGATGGTAAAAGAATAATAGTTATATTTCTTACGAGCAAATAGCTGATACAACAATTATATTGATAAGTATATTGGTAATTTTCCATTACATTTAAACCAAGAATTTCGACACGAAATTCATTTGTTTATTATATACGAATTTTTTATACACTAAATTTGATGGACACAATTCGATTAATATAGGGTACATTTCTTAAGAGTTGCGAAACCTTTTACCATTACTTTTTTATTACTGTTGACAACATTTGTTTATCGTTTTATAAAGCCTAAGAGCGTAATAGTGTTATTCTAAAAAGTAATTACAACAATTATTTTAATAATATAATAACAAATTAGATCAGGGAAATACAAAGAAGTTCGAACTTCAATTAAGGATACATTTTTCCTATTTTTGCAGTATTAAGCGCAGATTTTTGGTACAACTTATTTCATTAATTAAATGAAACATTACGCTCTCGTTGACGTTGACGAGCGTTGGACATTTTTGGGATTTCGGAGGGCATTGCATTTTTAAAGCAAGGCACATGCCGCATAGAAACCCCAACTCTGCCACAACGAACCCCACATTTGTCTTCGGAATCTTCATTCTTGCACTTCAATTATCTTTGATGTCGCGATTTCTTTGTCTTCGATTTCGCGTGATACACTTACTATTTAACATAACCGAGTAGCATATAACACATGTATAATACTTTCAATTGACTGTTACATTTTTTAACATGCGGTATGAATCGCACTTTCGTAATATCATCAAACATTATGATGATCTATTTATTAGGTATTTGAACATCTATTACAAAAATGCATTCAATTCTTTCGTATTATTCACCTTTATACCGACATTGATTATAACTTCATTAACCCTTTGACTTATGATTTATTTCTTAACTATGATCGATACAAATACTTTGTAACTAATAATTTATTGGAAAAAAAGGAAAGTTCAAAGCATACTCTATGTTCATATCTGCTCTAGCGTTTAATTGATAACACGAGAATAATTTGAATTCACATGAACTGCGTAATACTTATGTTTGCTGGATTCTGTTGAAAATTTTTGCCACAAGTCTGACACGTTATCACATAGGCAAGGGGTTAATAGTAGTTCTCTTTGAGTTTCATTTAACAGTCTATCCGAAAAATAATTTCTTTTGATACGTTCTACTTAATTTTACGGTTTGAAGGTTTCCAATGAAGACTTTCAACCTTTCTCTGTTACGTTCTAACAATAGGCTCGTTTCGGAATCATCGATTATTTAATCCGAAATACATCCCATATACTGGGTGATTCGCAAAACTGAAACATATCATAAGGGAAAGTAGGGAAAAACGGAAAGGTCATTGATATCGTTCATATTTAATAAGTCCTCAATGTCGTTTGAGATCGATTGTAGAGCAGTGCATGAGTTGTTTTACGATTAAAAGCATTTGAAAAATTAAAAGAGTATAGTTTATGGTATATCTAATTTTATAATAGAATTCTAGAATTCTAGAATTCCATTCTATGTATCTGTTGCTTGGAACGTTGTTTCATACAATCATTGAAAATGCCTAAAAACCGTTGAAATCCATAAATTGTACAGGCTATATAATCCAAAATTGTAATTAATTTCTCTCCAAGTCTCTTTACCTACAATATCGTGTCAGACTCGCGATGAAACTTTTAAACTGAATTTAAGACATCTAAGTGTTATTTATTTTCTTTAAGTATAAATTAAGTATTACTTTTCTATTACCAACCGTTAACCTTTGGACTAAACATAGACATAGAGCATGCATAAAAATTCTGTCTTTTCCCAATAAATTATTAACGACAAAGTAGTTGTATCGATCATAATTAAGAAATAAATCAAGGGGTTATGAAACTGCACGAAATCATGACTCAGCCTAATACGCCACGCCTGCGGAAGAAATATGATCCCAAAAATATAAACATTCGACCATTCGTATTTCCAACATTTTGCTGAAATTACGGTTGGAAAAGTGACACGACCCGTTCCAGTTGCGAGAATCGCGTTGCACGTGTAATTCAGCTAAACATGTTGAGTGCGTACGGAAGGCAGCTTAAAAGGGCGTGTTGCGCTATATTAGCTGCAATATATTGCGTCCGAGCGTAATGATTTCTTCGAGTTCTACGGGGCCGCGAGATTTACAGTGTCTGGCAGCGGGACACGGACAATGATACAACTTCGTTCCCCTGCATAATGCTGTCTCTATTCGGCTGAACGTTTCTTTCCGATCGGAGAGGAATTGAACTCTCGGCACGAAACCAGCTTCGTCATCGTGTTTCGTGTATGCCTCCATTGTGGTCCGTCGATCGGACTAACAAGTAATCAATCGCTCATGGAAAGATAAGTCTACTGCCGATCTCTCGGTTCCGGATAGGAATATCTCTTGACCGTGTACAACGGTAGATGAATATAACGTTCTCTAAGAGTTAAGACGATTGATTATACAGCGTGCATTGATCCTCGAAAGGCGAACGTTCTTGAGGACTTTATAACCAACAATGTCTAGACCCGTTCGAATCCTTACCCGTACGCACGTACGCTGCGGGTGTTCATGTAAATTCGTATTTTCATGGATAAATCAGTGAATAGCGGTGTTGCGTAAAATTCCATTTCCGGCTGCTACAGCTTCGTTGCAAACGAAATTGACGTGGTTTTGAGTTACGTTGAATTATACCATTATATTGAGAATGAGTTGAGTAAAGTTCAACACCAACCCTCTTTCATATTATAATTGCCTTCCAGCAATTCAGTTGCGTAGGTCATCAATGACTGTCATGGTAGTCGACGTGTTAACACTTATGTTAGCCAACTGAAAGGAGAAATCTCTCATTTTTCCCTTAACAATGTATTGTCGTTTTTTTTTGTTAATTTTTTGTTATCTACTAAATCTTGAACCAAGAATATTTACAA